GGGAGGGGGGGTGGGGGTGTTAGACATTGATCTACCAATCTTTAGTCCCGAGCAAGCTCTCAAGCCAGTCCCTTTCCTTCGCAAAGCAAACTCAAGGTAGTCCTTACCAGGCTACCTTTCGTGATTACTACCTTTACTACCTATAGTTATATATATTTCCTCTGTACAGGTCTATATCAAACAAACGATCCTGAGAAGTCTCGCATGTCCTTCTATCGGCCCTGAGGTGGTCGCGACACGCTCGACTGTCCCCGGTTGGGGCTGGTGCCGCTTCTCCTCGCGCTTCTCCAAGGTGCTGAAGCTGAAAAGCCGTGAAGGCTGGATGGACCATCCTCAGAGGTGAACACTGGTGGACAAAAACGGTGAGACAGCCCGGCTCTCAAATGTTCGAGATTTGTTGTGTGGATGTGAAAGGCTGGATGGTCTGTCTCCAAATCACTGGACGACCCCCTTGGCGAGCTTTTTGGCCCACTGTCTGGGGCACGTTTCCTTTTTCACGAGCCGAAGATAGCCGAAGGCTGGTAGATGGGGATTCCATTTGGAGTATATAATGATTCCTGGTTTGACGCCCATGATCTCCTTACTCCTTATATCTTATATCTCCGTTACCTATCCTGACTCGCCCGCAACGCCTCTCCCCCTTACGTCCCAGAAATAGGGCTCAGCACAAGCATCATCTCGTGGTAAAGATGTTCATCTACGCTATGGCCTTGGTCGGAACAATTCATGTGAATTCATCTATCATCTCTGTTTATTGTTTACACAGCTTGTGTTACTGCTTGCGTTCCACGGTGCAAAAGGGCCGGGTTGGAATAGCAATCATGGTGCCCGAAGGATGTCTATTTGAAGGGAGTCTATTTTTGATTTCACCCATATAAAAACAACACCTTGCTCTACATTCTAGATAGGGGTTCAACTAAACAAGGAACTACAAAAAGCAAGATTTGCGCAGGACCTACAAGCACTAACGCGCCGTGTCCAGGTTCTATCTGACACAGTTGCCATCTTCTGTGATCCTTGATGACCCTTGTTCACAGCATTACATGAATGCGCTCAGCACCCATCATTCTTACACCAACGCATGGTTCATTTGCCGATAAAAAACCTCTTTGCACACCAACGAAGAAAAGGAACTGATCAGGGAACATGCTGTCAACTTGTTCAATCATTTCCACAACCATTTTTCCTGAGAAACTTGTCGTTTGAGAAGCTATCACACAAATGTAGGACCTTGCTTCAATTCTTGAATCGTGATACGAAAGACCTGTGTCGACTTTCGAAGGGTTTGAGCAAATCACGGGGTCCACATGGGTCCACCTGTTCAGGAATATCCTATGTATCGATCCACCTGCTCCACATCTCTTTGCTGTTGGACCATCAATCAACTGTCCTCCCGTTCTGATCAGCTTTAGCAGCACGAAAGCCATCGGTGTCGGTCTTTTTCCTGGCGAATCATGTGCTCCAACCAGCGGGCTGCTTCTGGTGAATGCTTGCCCAGCCGTGGCCAGTGATGCTGTGAAACACGGGCTAGCCTGGCACAAAAGATAGGGACGAAAGCAGTTGGTGAACGCATTCCAACATCGCCACTCGTCCGCCTGCAATGTTTCGCCTGGAGAACACACCGGTCAAACCGAGCCCAGCTCGATCGTCAGCTGTATCGCTCAGCAACTTGACGCTCTGTCCTCGGAGGATCAAAAGTGGCAAATGCTGGACGCTCATGACCCCTGACTTGTCACATCGGGAGATTGGACCTACTCGTTTTGGACTAAACATAGCTACTCATAGCTTCGTTTCAAAACGGCCCTCATCCAACTGCTCGCTCGCAGGCTTGTCCAAAGAATGCTACATGATACTCACTGTGATCACAGTGGTAAGCGACTTCCGTTTCTTGAGGGTGGGAGCTCATCCCTCCGACCCCATGTTCCTTTCGTCGGCCAAGCATCAATACACGATATTCAGCGCAAATCTTCTGATACCACTCCGGATCCCCATGGAAGCGATAATCCATCACCAACTCTTCTCCAACCTCGATCTGCCGCAGTGTGGTATTGAAGCCCAAGTTGGGATTGGCCGAGTGGTTGACGAAACGTCCAGCATCCTGCGGGTTCACACATAGATGGTCCAGATCATCCGGAAGCACAAAGGCTTGGCGTAGATATGTTCTGGCCTCTTCCATTTTGAGCGTCTCCAGAGTGGAAGGCACCTCTGCAGCTGGGATCTTCGTCACCAAATCCGTCCACTCCCAGAAAGTAGTTCCCTTAGGAATGGGAGCCGTGGCAAAGATTCCAAAGTGGCCCTCGCCGTACGCGGGTGCTTCTCTGACCTTGGATGCGTGAAATACCTTGGACTAGAGATGTTCCAAACCAGTGATGCACAAGTTGAAAAATCCCCGACAAGGCATTTCCAGCATGATTAGGGTCAACAAATGAAGTTTGCAACGATGTCCAGTTAAGTAGAACAGCTCCAGTCAATGGGGCGTTCACCCCAAATTCATTGTAAGTTAAAGGAAACCGCCCTGCACTATCCACCTCTAAGTAAGGGGTCATGCGTTTGTCTTTTACTAAGCCCAAGGGGCTCAGCTGTAAAAGGGACGCCACGCATTCGGTTGGTGAGTAGAGTAGAGTCACGATCCCGTCCCGGTCGTCCCCGGTCGTCCTGCCTAGGGATGGACCACTACCCAAAAATCGTCTGCTAAAGCAATCCTGCTGCACCTCCACTGGAACCAGGAAGGCTGGTAGAGTCGAGCGAGTCGTGCTGCTTGGTGCGTCGGCAGGATGCTGCATGCGAGGAATGAGCTTGTGTCAAGGAAGCTGTCTCCGCCAGGACATCCAGTAATCTTTCAACAAACACCACCTCCCTCGGTGATTCTTTGTCAGGGGAACATCCCACCTATTTGTTTTGCATTAGGCGTGAAGTCTTCCGGTTCCTTTTTGGCTTGACCAAATCTTGAAGTTCAAAACCAACACATCAAGCAACACACGAAAGTGGATCTTAACCAGCACTTTACACCTCTTACATGGAACACTCACTGATACAAGAAGTGCTAAGGAATTGCCAGTAGAAGAGCCATTCGAACAAAAAATTACCTGCTTAAGCTGGGCGGTCGCCGATGACCATAGGGGATGACCTTAGCTAAAGGTATGACCTCAGAAGCCCAACAGCTGCAAGTGCACATCCAGCACGCCCGAGGTGAAGGACATCGGGATAGTCGATGAAACGGACCGTCGCCATTCTTCTGTGGATGAAGTGTTTGATTTCATCTTTGAAATGAGACTTGGAAGGATTCTGTCATATTCCACGTAAGAATATGTGCTCATATTTTCTATTTGTCACTGTTTTTTTCTCTTGCGGATTTTTTTGCCGGCAGTTTTGCAAAAAGCGTGCCGGAACGCAGGGGTCAGCCGTTGCAAGCATCCAAATTTCTAGGGATGACACTCCATCTGCCCAGCCCCCTCCTAACAAAGGAGGAACAACATGAACAACATGAGAGCATGGGGATACAAATCTGACCCTTCCTGGCTGTGAGCCCGGACATTGAAGGAATCCGCCCATCATCAGGACACGGTTGCCACAGTCATCCTCTCGCATCTCAATAAATTCCTGCAAGTTGTTGGCTCACTACCGTGTCACTCACTCGTTTGCAACAACGGGGCCAAGCATGAATTGACTGGAGCAAATTAATTAATGGTTTGGATCAAGTGGGTACCTTTCTTAGATGCCAAGATTGGGGTGCGTATACGTCATGTAACAAACAGCTTGCGGCCCCGTTTCAAAAAAGCATGGTTGGACAAATAGCCCTAGAAGCAGCCCCGTTGCCGCTAAAGTCCTGACCAAAAGACGTTGCAGCTCCAAACGACACATCTGTGTGAGTGTTGGACAAGGGATGAACTATATATATATATATATCCGCAAACCATCACCCTCCTCAAAGCTGCTGGAGGTTGTTGCCTTCACTGTGAGGTCTAAGGGATTTCCCCATCCACAGTGCTCATGTTCGTCCAGGATGTCCTGGAACGCCACCACGCGGACCCTCAACACGTCCCAATGGACCAGAAACAGCCTCTGCGACTCTACTTCCTTCATAATATGTTTTTAAGTCCAATTGTCAAACCATATTGAGTACATGGTATTTGCTGAAAATGAACGTCTTCCGACGAGCTCTGACGTGCTTTGGCACCAAGCACACTACATGCAAGAGGGTCTCGGTCTCTCTCTCTCTCTCTCTCCATCGTTTGGAGGATGGGATTTGTTCTGTAGGAGCACGTTTGGGACGCCAGCCTCCACCGGTTCCATCAGTAAGTCGTAGCTGTCAGCGTAAAGCTCTGCCGACCCCGGAAGGCAATTCCATGACACACCTTGAGACCCACACGTCTCGCACAGGCCAGATGGCCAGGGTGGAAGTTCCAAAGAGAAGCAGTGTTAGCACGCCCTCTGATAACAAAATACATGTAATTCAGCAACAAAAAGCGTGAGGGGCCCTGTGCGGCTGGACTCCCAACATCTAGTCTAAGCTTCCCACAAGTAACAAGTGCATCGCTACTAGGACACGTTGCTCCAGGAGGCTGAGAAGAAAGCATCGGAGGAGCTGGCTGGAACCCGCCATGGCCTTCGAAGGCAAAGAGCGCTCTTTGGATCCCCTGCTGTGCATGGCTGTTCTCCTCACGGTTAGGCAGCTAGGCTCTCAATATGTTGCAATGGTCCCTGGCAAGCAGTGCGTGTGCAGCATATCGAACCATGCTGGTTAGCCTTAAGCCTTAGTTTTCCACATGATTCCTTCTGTGAGCCCCGGTCTTCAGCTAGTAAAGCAGTCAAAGATGCCCATTCCAAGCAGCAAAAGCCACTCATGGGATCATCCCGGTTGATGATGTGTCAGACTCTGCAAATCATCTGAGCTTGAGCTGCATCAAAACGGTTGAAAATTATTGAAATCAACACAGCGGACACACCTGGCATCTCATTGAAGGGCAAGATCCACCAACTTGAGGCCAGAGGGGGTGAACGAAAGCTAGCCGGGCTTCCGGTGGTCTGCTGCTGCTGCCGCTGCTGCGCTGGGCGCTGCTGCGCTGGGTGCTCTGCAGGCGCCGGGTCGTCTGCTGCTGCTGCTGGCGCTGGGTGGTCTGCTGCGGCTGCTGCTGCTGCGGCGTTGGGTATGCTGCTGCTGCTGCTCCTTTGTGGTTTGCTGCAGCTGCTTGGTGGTAGACTGCAGATGCTTGGTGTGCTGCAGCTGCTTGGTGGTCCCGCTCACCGCGCGCAGGGGGGAGTCGAACCGCACACTAAGAACACAAAACCTGCGTCGTGGCCCGCGCGATGCGACGACAAAACCGAGAAAACCGAGAAAACCAGAAAACCGAGAAAACCGAGAAAATCGTTTTCGCGTTTTCCTGTGTGGAAGCTTTTTCCAGTTTGCTTACGTCTTCTTGCTTGTCTTGCCTTTGAGCGTGAAAACCGCAACCAAGAAAACCGGCAAAACGAGAAAACCAAGACAACGGTTTTCATCGTTCTCGCCGTTTTCCCGTTTTCGCCGTTTTCGCGTTTTCGCCGTTTTCGCCGTTTTCGCGTTTTCGCCGTTTTCGCGTTTTCGCCGTTTTCGCGTTTTCGCCGTTTTCGCCGTTTTCGCCCGTTTGCGTATTTTTGTCGTTTTCGCCATTTTCGTAGTTTTCGCCGTTTGCGCCGGCTTCGCGGCGCAGTCGTTGTTTTCTTAGTCTTCGCCACTTTCGAGGGTTTTCAATTATTATGCTCCTTAGTTGTGCACTAAATCTCAACGGTTGAAGTTTAAGTTCAATTCACGAATCTTAGTAAATAGTTCAGTGAATCAGAATGATCTTAATCTCCAATCCAAAAGGAATATCACCTCATCACAGGCACTACGCATGAACGACCAGATAACGTGACCAAGTCTATCCAGAGGGAACCCAGGGATGAAAGAAAAACAAGAATCAGACGACGTCCATTCCTCTCCATCAAACTGAAGAGCCGTGGCATGCCTCATGGCTCTCCTTGCGCGGAATCGACGAGCTCTTGCGACGCAAGGACAGATTGGAAACCAAGGGCTTGCGATGGACTCTAAGTTAGTTCAGTGGGGCTTGCCTTCCTGGCTTGCCTTCCGTGAACACTTTGTATTTTGTTTCAATAGACTGGCCTGGGCACATGCAAACAGCAGCTAAGATCAATCGTTGATGGTTGGGATAAGCCGCCCCAGCCAAGGCATTCCCGAGCTCCAAGGCTAAGTTCTCCAGCACACATCTCCCATTGTATGCCTTGCAAGTCATTAAGACATCTCCAGTTTTCTTCTTGACCTCGGCTAAATATATAGCTAGATGCTCACGCTGAAACAGGGTAGTTGGATGTTAACAAGCCAAGATTCTAGCCTGGTGGTGAAGGGCGGCTGCGAAGAAAAGATGCATGCTTACTTACCATAACAAACCCGATCGTCAGGACCGAGCGAGGCCCGAATTCACGTCCGGGTTCTGGCGGCGCATTGTGTCCTATCGGGCCCCGCGCAGCTACTGCTCGGACACACGTTGAGCCGCCTGGCGCAACAAAGGTGGACCGATTTCAAGGCCGCCCTAAAGAGCGCACTTGTTTCAATCTTGTGTCTTCCGATCCTGCACGATTTTGCCATGCCATGGGCTCCATGGACATAAGCCAAAACGAGGGATGCCATATTTTTGGTCGACAGCTGTCGGCCAGACCCAAGCAAAGCAAGATGCGCCTGGTTTAGAACAAGAAAAGATATACATTTATGGAGTGTTGTAGATTCAAAGTTGTGCTGTAGATCCTGTAGGTGGTCAATGTGGGAAAGGAAACAAGATCAGAACACTATTGTAGTTGTCAGTGCCTAGCTTATGTACACTATATACACATACAAATATATATATATATATACATGTATCTATATACATAGTTTACATGAGTGTTTAGCCGAAAAGGGCCGATTCAGGGCCTTCATGGGCCTTCCAGTTCCACCGATACGTCGACAAAGACCCAAATTTTTTTGGTGGGAAAAAGAGATCTTGTCTTGTTGGGGAGAAGAGCCAGCGATCTGGAGAATGCCTCAGTGTTCCATCTATTTGGGACCTTCAAGGCAACCCCATCTTTGTCGTGGTGGTGGACGCCAGTCGCTCCGAACCGCTGGCCAATCGCTTTGTGGAGGGTGGTCATGTGGCCATCGTCTTGCAGTGAGGACTGATGCGTCTAGTGTCCTGCGAACCGTTTTGAGCAGTCCTGATTGGGGTGTAGGCTCCCCCAAAGGCGCACGGTGCATCCACTCCAATAGAGAGCTCGTTGGAGTTCGCGCTAAAGAAGATCGGGGCAGCGTCATGGGAGGAAGGATTGAGGAAGGTGATCCCTAAGTTTCGCCGTCTTCTTGCTTCTCTTGCCTTTGAGCGTGAAAACCGCAACCAAGAAAACCGGCAAAACGAGAAAACCTAGAAAACGGTTTTCGTCGTTCTCGCCGTTTTCCCGTTTTCGCCGTTTTCGCGTTTTCGCCGATTTCGCGTTTTCGCGCCGATGCGGTGTTCGAGAAAACCGTGAGCTGTGTCAAATCCAGGCACTTTGTTTCCGCCGTTTTCCCGTTTTCGCGGTTTTCGCGTTTTCGCGTGGCCTGCCCCCGCATCACCGGGGGCCGAGACACACGTTTCGTATGCACAGTCGAACCGCGGGGGGGGGGGGGTCCATAAGATTGATTTAATCAATTATTTGAGGTTTCTGAGGTGCGTCCACCCCGTCACTTAACTTGCTAAAGCAAGAGCAACTCCAGCTAGCTAAGGCTAGCTTTCGTGAAAAAGAGATTGGCATCACAACAACAATCCCGTTATATTTCTATACTTGAGAGACTTGAGAGTAGGAAGCACGTGGCACACACAAACACGCATATGCGCATGTGCATAAATAGATAGTTAGATAGATACGTAGATAGGTAGATAGATAGATAAAAAGATCAGATTAGATTAGATTAGATTTGATTAGATAGATTAGATAAACAAATAGACAAGTAGACAATAAAACATACTGTAGCGGGAGCGCAGCGGTAGCGAAACGAAGGGCTCGAAGAAACCACGACAAACGAAAGGCGGCCGTCGCCTATGGCACTGTTTTCGAAAGACCGCTGGGGTCTGGCTGCAAAAGGGGCCCCTGAGCATGAACAGCCACGGTGGAAAAGTGGCATCTTTACATGGAGGCTCGATGCACGTGTTGCACCGGAAAACAAAAGGACTCAGACTTTTGTCTGATGAGCATCGAGCTTGGCCAGCGCAGTCTTGCCGGTCTTCTTGTTCTTCTTTGCCGCTGTGAATGTCGGGTCGAAGTTGATCGCACTTCCAGCTTTGGAGGAACCGTTGGAGACCCAACCTGCTGTCCAGCCGCTTTTTTGTGAGTGCGTCCCCGAGGTCGTAATCGGACGCTACCCACCTCAACTCACAGCCTGTGCGCTTCAAGTGGTCGCGCAACAATTGAAAGGCTTGTAGAGCTGATCGAAGGTTCGCCAACCCCAGTAGCGGCGATTCATTGACTTCAACTGCGTCGAACCCTCCTCGGCTGTCTGTGCACAGCACGCCGTGCACCCGGCGGACAATCTCCTCCATGGCGTCCACCATGTCGAAGCCACGTAGGCTTTGGATCTTCAGTCGGGTGCCATGGATTTCTGCTCATAGCAATCTGCAGCGGAACAGGACATCTTCCGTCTCCAAAATCGCCTGGACCTCAGCGTCGTTGCTTCCCACTGCCCGGCGTTTTAGACGCCAGGTGCGCCAAGCCAAGAGGCTCATCCTGCAGACATGTCCGGCCTTGCAAGCCGGTGATGAGGCCAGGATCACGAAGCCTCCAGTGCTCTCGCCTTTGCTCCTGTTGTTGTGAGCTTGATCGCCCATGCCGATGAACACTACCTCGGACCAATGGGAGATGTCATCAAACTTCACGAACTCGAGAGATGTGGCCTGAGCACGGCATTCGGCAATCATTGCCTGGATCTCCCTGGCATGTTCCAAGGTTCCGGCAGTGGTGACCTCAGAAAGGAGCAGGTTGCACCGCGCAGTCAGGAGTGGTTGCGACTGCACAGCGAGCCATTGTAGGGCTCCGAGCGCCGTCCGGCACGCTGCGACCTCTGAGGGTCGGAGAGCATCTTGCTCACGGAGACGGTTGGTGAGCCCTTCCACATAGCTGTTCTGGTCGACCACAATCTTGAAATTGCCAGAGCGGTCGACCACGGTGTGAACATCAGAACCAGCGTGCCTATAGGAACCCTGCTTCATGGTTCCCCACTGGTATGCAGAGTCGATGAGGTGGCACACTTCATTCCACTCGGCTGAGGTTTCATCACCGATCCTGTGGAAGTCGTCCACGTGTCCGCCCATCAGGCCGGTGAGGCGAGGATGATCACTATGTGGATCTTTTTCGTGCTTGCTGTACCAAGCCCATAGACATCGTTCACCTCGAACCACGTGGCCGCCCAGAGATGTGAGTTTCTCATTGAGCGACAGCCATAGCCCGCGGGGAGCTGTGGTGCTGCCATATATGTTTCGAAGAATCCGCAGGCAGGAATCTTCAGGAGCTCCAAGTGCAGCACGAAGTTCCGGCACCCCATAGGTGTAGAGCTGGTTGTCGGCAGCTGTGGGCTCGGTTTGCAGGAAGGCAGAGGCCAAATCAAGTCCTTGCAACTTCCATTGATGTGTCACGGAGGCCATGTAGATCATATGGCGTCCCAATGTAGAGATGACCGGGGCAGACGTTTTGAAGTTGCGCTCAAGCAAGCTTGGATGCTGGAAGCCAAGCAAGACGATCCTTGCTTTTGCCTTTCTGGTGGCATCGTGATTGACCACCGTGTTGGGGTTGTTGAGCTGATCTTGTACTGCTTCTTGACGCTCATCAGGCGTGACAGGTTTCCAAGTCAGCACCCATCTTGCTTTCAGAATGCGTCCGCGGGCCAAAGGCTTCACGAGCTTCATCATCATCCAGGCAGCGTCGAACTGCGCTGTTGCGCAAGAAGGAAGTGACCTCCTTGGACTTGGCCCGGTTGAAGAGAACCAAGTCCTGAGCACTGACATTTTTGAGGTTCACCTCGGAGGAGTTGAGCTTCTTGGTCAGGTAGAGGACAGGGTCCTGCATGAAGCTGCGGCGTTGTCGCCGGTTCTTGAGTTCAATGTCCACTTCGATGGAGAGGCATTCACCATCATAGGACTCCAGGAAGGCGAAGAGGTCGTGGTGCGTGATCTCATCTTGCGCCTCTTCACGAAGCAGATCCAACCATTTGAGGTCATACTCAGTCTCATGGTCGCCACGATGGCGTTTGACTTCTGGCTCCTTAGCGTCGGCCAATTTGAGCTTCTTTGGATCTGGCGCTTCATTTTCTCCATAGTCATTGACCCTTGTAGAAGACGAAGGCAAGGATGTAGTGCCCTCTGGTTCAGGATCATCGCCAGGTTCTGGATCTGGCAGAGATGGTGTGTACTCTTCATCAGGAACCTTGAAGTCCTCTGATGACCAATTGGACTGGATCGATGCACGACCTTGTAGTCGGAGTCCTTCAGGGTGGGTTTTCCCACAGCTCGGCGAATCGGAGCCAGCGTAGTCTCATCTGGAGCCGCTGGTAGGTCAGGTAGTTCCTGATCGAGTTCGCCGGGTTCTTCATCAAGAAGGTCGGTGTACTCCTTCTTGGGGATCATATCATCCAAGGACTTCCATTGTGTGGGGTCTTCCCCTGATGAAATTTCGTGCCGAAGTCGTTCAGTTTCATTTGCAGGCCGGACGGAGTGAACTGAACAGCGAAGGAGTTTGCGTCCAAAAAGAACCCAAACAATGTGTTGCCTCTTGTCATCAATGTCCTGGTGTGGGATTGCTTCGGCGAACACGACTCTTCCGGGTCCCACCCATTGAGGCCTTCCGGACTTTTTGTGTCCTCCCCGAGAACCTTGATGTTGTTCTCCAGCTTGAAGTTTGCGCCAGACCATGACCAGTTCTGTCGGCGCATACTGTCGGACCGGTTGTCGGACAGTAGTGTTGGCCAGCTTACTTAGCACCCTTCTCGCACGCGATCGACGCGCAATCTCCTCAGCTTCAGAGCGAGCCTTGGTGATCCGAAGAAAATCTTCCTTGGGCTCGATGGCATTCCAGATGCGAATGTCCTCGTCGCTGATGGAGTACTTGGTGCCAAATGCCCATTGATGGGAGGAGTAGCCGGCGGTGTACTCAGTGCCATTCAAGGCTGAAGCTGCCAGCGTGAGAGTCATCTCAGGGCTGTTGTTCAGGTTCTCCTGGTGGATAGCTGTAGCCACGTGCTTGATGTCAGCAACGGCGGCCTCCACAGTGCCATGACCCCACGGCTCTTTCTCAGGAGGGTAGTGGACCTGAATGTTCTCGGACTGGAGGAAGTCGTGGAACTTTGAAGAGATGAAGCTCTTGGCATTGTCGGCAACCACCAGTTTTGGTCGTGGGTAATGACCAAGCCAGCCTTGAACAAGTGCCTGAATGATCTCATCGGTTGCCTCGGGTTGCATAGCCAACTCCGGGTAGAGCTTGAGAAGCACCACAACACGAAGCTTGGTGGCCAGGTCGATGATCAACAGGAATCTGGCCTTCTTTCGTAGACCAGGAACCAGCCATTCGGAGGTGTCCAAACCAATGCACTCCCATGCACGTGGTAGTGCGTGAGTTGCTGCAGGAGGAACTTGGCCCGATGATGTGCCACCAGGCTTGAGGGCCTTGCAGGTCTCACATGTGTGCTCCAGAGCAGCTTGTATCTTCCACAATGGACCTCCAGCCTCTCGCACAAGACGAGCGAGGTTGCGGGCAGTTGGATGACCCGCTGCTTTGTGGAAATGGGCCAGCCGGGCCTTCCACTTTTTCAGCTCATCCGAGGTTGGAGTCAGGGAGGTAGAGCTGGATGTGGCACCACCTTCGGGTAGAAGTTCTTGTCCCGCTGGTTGTTCTTGGAGAGCAGGTAGTGCTTGAAGTGCAGCACGCTCCATGTTGATCTCGTCCTCAATCGGGATCATGTAGGGCTTGTCCTCCTTGGCAAAGATGAGCTGCATGTTGCGGTCAGAGACATACTCTTGACGCCATGCCAGGGCCATCGATTTGACCATGCGCCATGGATAGTAGGAGCTCTTCGATGTCTCGGCTCCCTGAATCCAGGCATGTCGGTGGCTGCCAGGACATACCTTAGCTTTGAAGCGCTGGTGGAAGAAGGAGCTGGTTGTCCGAATCATCCATCGCTTCCGGAGGAAGTCGCCAGCACCATCATCAGCACGGAGACCATAGTTGCACCCATCAACACGGCATGGAAGCCATTCACGACCGCGAGCTTGAAGGAGGTGAGCAATGTACTCCAAAGGTCGTTGATTCCATCCTTCGCAAGGCCAGGGCCATTCCCAGTAGATGTCGGTCTCGGGGTCCTCGTTGAGGGTGTCTTCAATGAAGTGAGCTGCTTGCCATAGCATGCGTCGCTCCCGACGGCGATATGTGGCCAGCAGTTCTTGACGCTCCTCTGTGGCGTAGTTGAGCTTGGACCATTGGCACCACTTGGTGCAGGGAAGACTGAACCACAGTCGCCGGGGACGATGACGGCGTCGAAGACCCTTCAAATGCTCCCAGGTTGCCGTCTTATAGATGTCATAGCCCTGTTGGAGGTTAATCCGGCGAGGTCGATGACCTTGTTGGTCGCAAGCTTCACTGAGCCACGAGTGAGGTGCACAGGCGATCTCCCAGATGCCATCCTGCTCATCGAGGACGAAGTCCATAGTTGTTGATGCCATAGAGCTCAGCAGCGTTGTAGCCATCAGCAGCAGCTTCGCGGCCATAGAGCTCTTCAAGGGCATAGTGGAAGAGGTCGATGAAGTCATGCATCCTCCTCGTAGGCCTGAGCCAATCCGGTCATGGCAGCCAGTTCTTGCTCTTCCATCACGGCCTTGCGTTCCTCGAGGAGCTGCATGAGCTGTTCCATCTCCTTGGGGTTCAGCAGCTGCTTGACATCCTTCTCGAAGTGGTCGGTCGGTGGAGGAGTGCAAATCTCCCATGAGGAAGGACTGGATGTCTGACCCTTGGTCTTGTTCCTCGAGGTCGGGGTCGCCGGCGAGGTGGAAGGATACCCGGAGCTTTTCACCACGGCCTTGCCCGTCTGCTCCGGCATGTTGCGCTCCCCTTGGATCTTGGAGATCTGGCGGTGCACGAGGTCCTCCAGGACGATGTCCGCATCCACCTTCTTCTGCATGGCATGGACGGTCTCGGCCGATGGACGTTCCGAGTTCATCAAAACTTTCAGCTCGCCCAGCATCCGTTGAACCAAGGGTGGAGCATCGGTCTTGGTGTTCTGGCCATGGGAGCCCTTGCGAGGGACATACATCCAGCGGATGTTGCACACTTGGCAGTGTTGCCATTGACCGTGAGGGTTCGCTCGCACTGAGCCCAGGTGATGTTCCCCGTAGCACGGCCACTGCTCCGGACTCATCCGAGGATCTCTTGGATCCGGGCCGACTCCTCGAGGAGGATCGAAGGGCCGAGGTGGCTCCTTCTCGCGGCTGCCGGTGATCTTCTCCCTGAAGTCCGCGGCTGCCGTCTTGATGTCCCAGATCTTGTTCCCCTGCTCTTCGGTCAGCTGGCTGCCCTTGCTCCGGGACATGGCAAGAGTGGTCCGGGGAAATCGAATTGGGCGTCCGGCTTCCAGCCACGTGCATTTGAGCAGCTGAGAGCTGAAGACGGCGGCCACAAACATAATCATGTAGTGTCATCAACTGTTGACGTGACTGTCGGAGTCGGGCTTCATCATGTTCATGAACCACTCGTGCATGTTCTTGGGAAAGAAGTTCCAAGGGCATGAACTGAAGTGTGTGGTGGTCGTTGATCATGTTGGAGGTGTCTTTCTCAATCACATGGATGCGGGGATGTCCATCATGACATGTAAAACCACGGGTGAGGAAAAAGGCGATGTCCAACATGTAGTGACCCTTCTTGTTCTTTTCCAACTGGTAAATGTCTGGATGGGCCTCATGTGAATCCAAAGCAAAACCTGTTGCAAAGTCAACCATCATGGACGAATGTGGACCTGCCAAATGGTTCATGCCGATCAGGATGGGGACCAGTTGCGACCGATCGAACGAAGGATCATGAAGACCTGGTGGATTTGGTAGTGCATAAAGTTCAAAACAATGAGGCTTTCCAGAAACAGCCGAGGTCAACGAAACACGATAAAGCGCTTGTCCCCATTTGCCGTTCCCGAACCTGAAGTAGGGCCGATCTTCTTTGTGAATCGAAACCACGGCCTGTCGGTCACGGTCGACGATCGTTGAGATCAGTTGCTCAACTGCAATCTGAGGGCCAGCAGAAGCTGTAGCCCCGCAATCCAGGAGACCATGTGTCTCAGATGGAGAAACCGTGCGCTCAGTCTCATTGATCTGAGCCTGCAAATCTAAGGCACCAAAGAGCATCTCAGTGTTGTAGGCATTGACGGAAGGTCGTCCCACTGGGGCATTGGACTTGCCCTTCCCTTTCTTGCCTTTTGTGCAGGCTTGAGCGTCAAGCCAATGGACATTCTTTCCCTTCTTGCCACCACCCTTCTTGCCCGTGAAGAAGTCGTCGTACGTGTACGGATCATACTCAGTCAGGTAGTTCCATTTGCTCTTGCCTTTTCCCTTGTAGGGACCAGGATGTCGACGGTCAGGGCATTCTCGAGAAAGATGAGGGCCTCCACATTGGAAGCAGGGACCACGTCCTTTGCCCATGCCACCTGATGGAGGTTGTTGTCCGAAACCACGATCTTTGCGAAGCGCGGCGGTCGCTCTTTGAGCTTCAGCCCAGGAACGTTGAGCTTCCACAGCCAAGGATTCGGCCATGCGCTCAGCTTTCTGCGCTTCTTTCAAGTCCTCGTCATTCTCCTCCTGGGTGGTGTTCTTGTCCTCGTAGGCCTCCACGTTGTAGGCGTCAGCCCAATCCCATGAAGACCAATCCTCTTGTCCCCCGTCACCGGAGACGTGACATGAGTCCCAGGTGGCGGGGTGCCACTCAGCTTCAGGTTCTTCCTCCTCAACAGTGGCCAATTCGTGCCAGTTGGAGTTGAAGAGAGTTGGATGTGATGAGCGGCTGCCAGTGAACTGCTCGTCCCATAGGGTCTGGAGTGCCCTGTTCACCTCATCGAAGTCGAGGGATCCATGGGTCGCCGACAAAATGTCTCGGCGTTCATCAGCACTCAAGCCTGCGGCTTGAAGAAGGCGGAACCCTCGCAAGACTCCGAGGACGAAGGAGTCTGCAAAGCTAAGCTCATTGAGCTCCTCACCAGCCAGTGAGGGCTGCACCCCAGCCGATCGTCGGCTAGGTGAAGACATCGTGCCTTGAGGTACACGTTGATATCCACCACCATGAGGCGAGCCACTCTCCGCTCGGGACGTAGACGCCGGCAATGTCGTAGTGGGTTGAGCCGAGTTGGGATCGAAGTCACCATTCTCGGGGTCAGGAGCGTTCACATCGTCCTGCGGCCACTCAGCCCAATCATCCCACCATGCATCCCAGCCGGAGTCATAGTCCTGCTCATAGTCAGCCTCCCCAGCAGGAAGGCCAAAGTCCTTGTCCTCTTGTCGAATGCCACGCTTCTCCTCAGCCAGGCGCACCAAAGCCTCAACAAACTCAGAGAAGCCAAGTGCTTCCCTGACCAGGAACTGGGTCATAGGCTCGTGAGCCTTACGAGCAAAGCTGAAGTACTGATTGCAAATCGCCGAGGCGTTGGGGATGCTCTGGCGCACCAACGGAGAAGCAGCCAGGCGCTGCAGCAGAACCTTAGTGCCCCCATAGTCGTCCAGCGACATGTCACTCCAGCTCATAGCCAGTAGCCTCGCCGGGCCGGTGAGGCGTGAGAGAAGCTTGGTGGCGACATAGCGGCGCTTTGCCACCGGTGTAGCTCGGAAAAACCAGGAAACCTCTCGTGTGTATTTACGCCACGTTCGTGGCGACCCATCCCACGATGGGATAGAGAAGTTGCCATCTTCTTTGGACATGCTCGGGGCTGAAAACCAACTCAAAGGAAAAATGGAAGAGGGGCTTGCCAAGGTCCAGCTGCCAAGTCCGCGCGAGGACAATCTTCAGGATGTAGGGCTAGCAAGGGACCAAGGCGCTGGAGCTTGCGCTCCGCTACCATGTAGCAGGAGCGCAGCGGTAGCGAAACGAAGGGCTCGAAGAAACCATGACAAACGAAAGGCGGCCGTCGCCTATGGCACTGTTTTCGAAAGACCGCTGGGGTCTGGCTGCAAAAGGGGCCCCTGAGCATGAACAGCCACGGTGGAAAAGTGGCATCTTTACATGGAGGCTCGATGCACGTGTCGCACATACCTAATTGCATATATACAAACATATTGATACGGGCCCAAGGGTAGTCTCTTTTCCAGCTACCCCCATTCTTCTTGAACAGCGGGCCATCGCTGGGAGGTGACACAGCCGACGAAAATTCCCCATCAAAGTCCTATCAGTAAACCATGCAGTAGATCTCTGCCATTCTTTGCCACTATTGAAAGGCCAGCCAGCTGTTCAATCCATCAGCCATAACCATCTAAGAGTAACAAGAATGCATTTTTTCTGCTTTCCACTCCTTTTTTCATCTCTTTGCTCCCGTCACTGCCGTGGAAAGCAGACCAGGAGTCGATTCAAGGCTCGCTCGGGTGAGGTGGCCGCAGCATTGCCGGGCCTTCGTTTCGCCGACTGGGGGCACCATGCAAAACCAAAGCATGGTTTCCACAAATGGCAGTTCAGGTCGCCACTTGGGTCGTGAGATGTCTGGATTTGTTGCGTTGGCTATGAAAGATGGATCCAACAGCGAGAATTCACCTTTTGATTTGGTCGGAAGCTTGCCATGATGAAAGTGGCCAGTGGCCGAGTTGATCATCTTCTTGTGGGGATTCCTCATGCACCTACGTGATCTAACATAGCTGCCGTAGCACCTCTCTCCAATTCTCTACTCTAAGGGTTGGTGGTAAAAGAACATCTTCTCCTAGCTTAAGTGTTCCTAAGCTCCCGGCCCAAAAAATAACCTGGAAAGTATTGCCTTCCCGAGAGCTGCGCCATTTTGCTTGATCAAGTGAGTGCTAGATTCGATAAAACGACTTCAATAATCAGCAAATCCTCGGTTTTGGCAGTCAGGATCCTACAGCAACACGTTCAAACAAAACTTCTGAAAATCCCGCGGAGGCTTCCAAGCTTTGGAGGGAATACTCCCATGTCAAGGGATAATTAGGATTCGGACTCGCAAACATACTTTAACTATAGTTATGTTATGTATACACAGAAATTTGTTTTAAGAGCGGCGGCGTTTATGTTACTAGGCTCAAACAAACTATATATTTTGTGGGGGCCCTATCTGGTTGGTTGTTTTGTTACTAGGCTCAAATCCACTATCTAATATGCGGGAGCCCTATCGGCCCTATCTGGTTTAGACTACTGAAGTATTGGAGGTCATGTCGCGGTATCTCGTTCAGGCTACTTTAGTGTCATCAAAAACGGTACCTCGTCTATGTCGTTCATCAAAGAATACTGATGTTGGACAAACAACTAGCAACTAGAGCATGGTGTAGACTGCTTTAATAAAGAATTAGTAGAATTAAGTGGTCTCTCTCACACGCACATATATATATATATATTTATAGTTATATATATACACACATCTGATGGGTGTTGAGCACCCTGCATGCCATCTTCAACTTACCATCAGGATTGAGCCCGCTGTGTCGTGGCCAACCAGCAAACCATCTCGAACCGGACAGTGTATACAGCCGGGAACCCTGTAATCATGTGTCTCCAACTGATGACTCCTCGCTGTTTGGTCTACAAGGGGATTTCTATCCAAGCACACCACCAATGGCGCTTCGCCGCAGCGCCTCCATTCGTACTTGCCCGTGGGCTGGGAGATCCAAGAAACCTGGCGCTGTTGCCCTTGCCAAACATGTACTTCCTCACCCGTTCTGAAACCACAACCCTGCAACCCCTCACCCTTTGCTTGAGCCATTTTGAAGACTTGTGGTTGAAGTTAGAGATATTTCAGGAATTGTTCTTAGTCAAGGACATCGTCAGTATGGGCGTCCATCGTACACGTTGGAAATAAACGAGAGACTGGTTTTTCTCACTTCTTTTTGACCCCAGAGGGCCCTAAGGAGTTCACTCTTTCGCCCTTCAGTTGTCAGTACTTGGCATATTCTGAAAAAACAGGTGAACACCCAAGTGAACAAAAGAGTGAAAAAAGCGACCGCTGCTCTTTTCCTCATAGCTTGAGCCATGGGCGTCAGGTCGTGCCCATGCGATCAGGAACGAACCGGCAGGATTGGAAGGCCAACAGGTTGGAACCGCGATCAACCGTCTTCAACATACTCAAACTCACACCCATCTTTCTTTTTGGCCTTCAATCCCTCCGATGGGTTCAGATCGATTTCCTCGGCCATCATCAGCCGCTGCAAGCCGGCATGTTTCATGCCCTTCGTGAGAGGATCTGCCAGCATCTTATCCGTGCTGGTCCAGGTGAGCTTGGTGCTCCCATCGCTCGGCAACCGATCCGTCGCCAGCGGATCTCCCACTTCTTCTCCTGGAAGGCGCCACAGGGTTTGGCGCAAGCCACAAAGGTCGATGGCCAGACGCTTGTCTGACACGACGTGCAAGCCAGCTTGATTGCCGTGGTCGTGTAACGAACGGCAGTCCGTCAGCCATTCCACCAACACTCCATCCATCGCAGACACTTGCCAGTGAGGTTGTCCACAATGAGGATGGCGGAGACCATGTAGCACGAACCTTAAGTGCTCTGCTTCCTCGCTCCCTGCAAGAAGGCTGAGAGCTTCTGATTGAAGCGTGGATCGACAGACCCGCTTCAGCACGGTGCTGTGCCACTCGATCAAGGCCAGTCGGCCTGTCTTGCTCTCAAAGAAGCTCCGGTCAGCGAGGCATAGAAGACGTCCACTTTGGCTCCGATGAGCCATTCTGGCACCTGAAGAACTGGCCTCATGGTCGGCAGCATGACTGGCATCTTGAATTGCCAAAATCATCACATTCTCAAACTTGAAGGCGCCGACGGGGTAAGCCAGACCAGCTTCCTTAGTCTTTTGTGCCAGGGCCACAATTGAGTTGGCATACTTGACGTCCTCATAGGTCGCAGAGCTCACGCTCATCTGCATCTTGCAAACGGCGTATGCCAGGTCAGGGCGGCATACCCTTGACAACCAAGCCAAGCTTCCAATGATGCTGCGAAGCTGCCCACGGACTCCTTCAGAGACTGGTTGTTCTGCACGACGCTTCTGCTCATGGGTCAGCCAGATCGGGCGAACACGATCGATCAAATTGTCACACTTGACGTAGATCTTCTCAGCATCACGGGAGATGTTCCTGCCACAGTAGCGGAACTCATTACACTCGATCTTGCCGAACTTGTAGTGGTCGCAGACCTCTTTCATGCGAGCTTCAACCAAGGTTCCACCCGTCCATAGGAGGTCATCAACGTGGGTGATCAGGATGCCCGCAAGAACGCCCTCCTTCTCCAAGAGCGTGTATGCTCCAGGTTCAAAGGGCACAGGAAGGAAGCCCTTCTTCTTGAGAGTTCCATCCAGATTCTTCCACCAACCACGTGGGGCGTCTCGAGTGCCGTAGACGGTGGATGAGACGATGTAGTACATGTTGGGATCAACACCAGGCACTCCATCTTTTGGCAACGAGTCACATCTCATCAGCGAGCTATCTTCAAGGTCGCCACGAACCACAAGGCGTGACTTCAGCTTCTCAGGCTCGCCAATCTCGCTCTTGTCAACATCTACCCACCTCGTAGGGATGATCTTGAGGTTGGGATTGTTGGCCATCATCTGCACAACTTCCTCCTCCGTCACCAGTCGACCATCGCTGTAGAATTTCCAGTTGCGCCATTCTTTCTCTCTGGTGGCGATCAACTTCTTTTGCATTTCTGGCTCTTCCTTGGAGAAGTTCAGCTCGCGGCCAGCTCCGACTTTCTTCTGAGTCTTCTTCTTATACTTCCGCTCCGTCTTGGTGGCGATGAAGCTATCGGAGGCTGATGGCTCACGGCGACGAAAAATGCCATCCAGGCGGTCAGGACTCTGCCGAAGTGACTGAGTGAGAGGTGTCACTTCTTCATTGATGATCGATGTAGTGCTTGGTCCTGCTGGATGTGTGGAGACACTTGTAGTCGGAGGAGTCTCCCATTCCGGTTGGCTGCTCATTGTTGAGCCTCGAGTCATAGGCTCAGCAGGCGGTGTCGTCACACCATCTTCATTGATTTCCATGTTCTCCAGCCCAGGAGGAGGTGCTGGAGGTTCATTGCGAGGTTCTGCATGAGGTTGAGGCATCGATGAGGACGAAGGTGCGATAGTTTCTTCAGCACCCATCTCAACATCTCCAGGGTTAGCAGCCACTCCTGTCTCGCCTGTGTCTCTCGCTTCTTGGAAGTCCACAAAAGGGACCTGTTCACGAGGTCCGCCTCCTCCACCACCAAGGTTCAGGTCCTCGATGTAGTCATCAGCAAAGGGGAGGTCGTCCTCGTCTTCCCAGTCATTGAGGATCTGTCGTTTCCTCTTTCTCTCAGGCCTGAGTTCCAAGGCCTGCTTCTTCAGCACTTCATCAGTGGTAGCCGGGCGGCAGGAAGTTTCTGCTACAAGGATTGCAATGCCCGAATGGAGAAGCCATAGCGAAGACTTCCCTTCATTGGCCAAGACTCTAGCTGGGCCATACCACTTGCCTTTCTTGCTGAAGCTCACCAAATCACCACAGCGGTAAGGGCCACGCATCGGCGTGCTCTTCCTCAACATAGCCTTTCGGATCTTCTGGCTGGTGTCCAGCTTGATGAAGG